CTGGAGGGAGGCAGCATGCCTGGTCTTGCAGTAATAGGCCTTGGGTTACTGATAGTGATTCTGTTTTCCTCTTGTGGGGTTCTAGGAGGTCAGAATATGTGGCCTCCTTGCCCTTTTTGCGGTAATCCATACTGAAAACTACAGTCTTTGATCTTCATCAGTAAGTGCTTCAAGTCATCTTCACTTTCAGCAAGCAAGGCTGTGTCGCCTGCATATCGCAGGTTGTTAATGAGTCTTCCTCCAATCTTGATGCTGCATTCTTCTTCATACAGCCAACATCTCAGATTATTTGCTCAGCATACAGATTTTATAAGTATGGTGAAAGGATACGACCCTGATGTACACCCTTCCTGATTTTAAACCATGCAGTATCCCCTTGTTCTGTTCGAACAACAGCTTCTTGGTCTATGGACAGGTTCCTCATGAGCAGAATTAAGTGTTCTGGAATTCCTGTTCTTCACAGTATTATCTATAATTTGTTATGATCCCCACAGTTGAATGCCTTTTTATTCAGTAAAGCACAGGTAAGTATCTCTCTGGTATTCTTTGCTTTCAGCCATGATCCATCTGACATCAGCACTGATATCCCTAGTTCCATATTCTCTTCTGAATCCAGCTTGAATTTCTGGCAATTCCCTGTCAAGGTATTGCTGTAACCATTTTTTGAATTATCTTCAGCAGAATTTTACTTGCGTGTGATATTAATAAAATTGTTCTGGTTGTTACGTTTCCCTTCATCTAGTTGCCCTGCTCCCTTACATTTAAAGATGAATTTTCATCATGTATTTTAAGTTGTTCAGTTTGCAAATAGTTAGGAATGTCTCCTTCTGGCAGGAAGCGTCGTGAAATATTTAATCGGCCCCCAGCCCTTACTGAGCATGTGTGATGGGTGAGGCGTTGCATGGCTCAGCAAGGGTTAGGGATATGGAGACGGCCCAAGGTGGATGGTGACAGGAGCATTGACTTGGGAGGACAGCAGGTGAAGAAATGAAAAGTAGTGGGAAGGGTGTGGATTCAGGAGTCCAAGGTGCAGGTTCAAATCCTTGTCCTGCACCTCGATGTGACTGCACCAGCCACCAAAGCCTGCTGGCCTGGCCTTTCTGCAAGATGGAGATAGCAAAGGCAGCCTCTCTCACCAACTTATTTAAATGGATAAATGGATAAATTGAGTGGATATAGCATTGACCATCCGGTACGGTGCCGAGCACCAAGCTAAACCAGCCGATTGCTGTCTAGTCGACTCCAACTCATGACGACCCCACGTGTGTCAGAGTTTTCAGTGGCTGGGTTTTTGGGAGTAGCTCCCCAGGGCTTGCTTCTGAGGTGCCTCTGGGTGGACTCAAACCTGCAACTGTTCAGTTTGCAGCTGAGCGTGTGAACCGTTTGCACCAGCAGGCACTCCTAGGACCAAGTAGGTTTGTTTCAGAAAGAAAAAAGGATCAAGTCTGTGTGTGTGTGTGTGTGTGTGTGTGTGTGTGTGTGTGTGTGAAGTCACTTACTAAAATAGCAGTACCATAGGATAGCTTACAAATCTGCACCTGAGACTGGTTAAATGAGCAAGAGTTGGAAGGAATTGTTATGGATTTAGCAGAGGCTGATAGAAGCAGGTTTGAAAAACACAACCTGGACTGTGGCGAAGGCCAGGGCTTGGGAGAGTCTGGCACTCTGTGGGGAGGGGTCCCTGTGAGGCACAGGCCAGGGTACTTGCTGTGGGGCCGGCGAGGTCTTGGCTGTATAGGGAGTGGAGGTGGGGCACAGGGACTTTAAATACAGGTCATTGTGAAAGGGAGGGTTTGAGCAAGTCAGGGGCAGCCCGTGACCCTTTGTCTTCTTCCCTGAGTGCCTTGCAACACAGTAAAGTTCCGGAAACGGCTGGTGGATTAGTTGATGGATGACATTCCTAATGAGTGTGTAATAACCCCAAGCACATAGATAGACGTCAAATGAGCTGTTGAATTTTCTCTTTCCTTCATTGTTCTCCCCAATTTTATTGTGGTGGTG